GAGCAAAGGAATCGCATTCTTTCTTCTCTTCATTTCCCATTCTCGTCGTCAATGTTAAAGGGGTTAGGAGCGGTGAGCATTCACGGCATGGCAGCGCTCCAGCGGGACGATCCTGAGTTGCGTGCACTGATCGACCACTTGGAGGGACGAGGGGGTACGATTCCCCGAGCCTTCTCGCGTGACCTACCAAGATTCGCCGTCCGGAGAGGTCTCCTCTATAAAGAGAACTTCTGGGACAACAACTCGACGTGGCTCCTGGTCATTCCTGCTAGTCTTCGAGAAGAGATCTTCCAAGCCTGTCACGACGACCCAACATCTGGTCACCTTGGCTACAGTAGGACCCTTGCACGGATCCGAGAAAAATACTACTGGCCCAAGCTCCCGAAGACTGTCCACCTCTACGTCCGTTCGTGCCACGAATGCCAACGACGCAAGAAACCACCGACGAAGCCGGCAGGTCTCCTGCAACCGATCGCGCCCCCAACTGCACCATTCCAGCAGGTTGGAATGGATCTTCTCGGACCTTTCCCACCGTCGGCGCAGGGAAACCGGTGGATAATCGTGGCAACTGATTATCTCACCAGGTACGCCGAGACAAAAGCACTCCCGTCGGGGACCGCCGTGGAAGTAGCCAAGTTCTTCGTGGAGTCTATCGTCCTCCGACACGGCGCTCCCCAAGTCCTGATTACGGGCCGAGGATCCTCGTTCATGGCGCAACTGGCACAAGAGATACTCCGCCTGAGCCACACCGACCACCGCCGGACCACGGCATACCACCCGCAGACCAACGGGTTGACGGAGCGACTAAACAAGACCATCGCCGACATAATTTCTATGTACGTTGACGTGGAACACAAGACGTGGGATGAAGTGCTGCCCTACGTCACGTTTGCGTACAACACGGCGATTCAAGAAACTACCGGCATTACACCCTTTCAGCTGGTGCACGGCAGAAAGGTGACGACGATGCTCGACGCCATGCTGCCCCACGACCCGACGGACGACGGCACTGACGACGCCCAGCTGGTCACCCAACGAGCAGAAGAAGTACGCCAACTAGCCCGTCTTCGAATAAAGGACCAGCAACGTGTGGACGCTGGCCGGTACAACCTTCGCCGCCGCGACGTGGAGTTCCAGCCCGGAGACAGGGTATGGGTGTGGACGCCCATTCGCCGCCGCGGCCTCAGCGAGAAACTGTTAAAACGCTACTTCGGACCCTACAAGGTCATCCGCCGCCTTGGGGACTACGAGGTGCTCCCCGACGGAACTCGCCCATCAGGACGCCGCCAGCCACGACCCGAAGTCGTCCACGTAGTTCGACTCAAGCCGTTCTACGCGCGTTAGGATTGTGACACTGCATGTTTGTTTTGTTTCGCCGTAATTGTTTTAGCCATTTCCGTTTTCCTTTCGTTTTGCATCGGGGCGATGCACTTTTAAAGGGGGAGATAATGCCGCCCGCAGAGCCGAGAAAGCAACGCTTGGTCACGGTCTTCTAGAAGATTCCCGGTCATTCTCGCAGCAGACGTAACTTTCCCTCTGCTTTGTTATTCTCGAAAGTGCCAGTTCATCCTCGCCCCGAGCGCGCGACGCTCGAACCTTCCTCGCCGAACTTTCGAGATAGTGACGCACGGTAGATAAGCAGCTGCCCGCGACCTTGTCGAGTCAGTCCCAGTCTCGCTAGCACTCTGTAGTGCCGCCGAACCGCCGCCCACTTTTCTGCTACCTCGACGCTCTTTCGTTATTTGTTTTTGGTTGGCACAAGTTCGCCCATTAAATCTTTATTTTCAGTTCACTGTTCGGCTTTTCGTCACCTTCATTCGTGACAATATTACGTGACTTTCAATTTATTTTGATCGTCTGCAAGCACAAGGAGTTACTTATTCAGTGTTACTGCGTAGTTCTTGCCGTCTCTTGGTTTTCCACATGTCCTTCGTTCATTTGGCACGTATACCCCCATGCTGAAAAGCGCCGGCGCCGTGTTCGCGCTAACAGTGTCCGACAGTGCACATAAATACATGTACGAAGCGGCTTAAGCACCGTTTTTCATGCCACGATTTTAAAATAAAAACGCCGTAACTGACCAATTATTTCATCTGCGTGTCTGGGAAACGTTCCAATGTGCCTAGTAGGTACAAACTATTCGTGATATTAGCTCTTATAATCGAGCGCAGGGAGGAAATGCACTCGCTTTTTTCCGTAGAGATGCATTACCGGAAGTCAATTTCGGACTGCTTGCTGTCTGCTTCAATTTGCAACAGCACACTAGCGCCAGTTGAACCTCTAGCGTACATTATAATAACTCTATGGCCTCGGCGGCCGCAATCGCCGTAGCCTCGTCATCAGCATCCAACCGCATAGGTTTCTCCCGTGCGAAGTGTGTTTTGGGTCCACGCCGCTCAAAAGCTGTGCGCTCACTACCGAACTCGCCGAGAAATGTTCTGCGCCACCAGATCCTCGCGTTCTAAATCTACGACCGGGCACTCTATGGCTCCGTCGCGGAGCACGTGGAGCGAAAGGTCGCGCCGCAGAACCCAGGGATCCTGGGTTCAATCCCCACCCCTGCTCGTTTCGATCTGGATCAGCATCGTACCGTCGTGCGTTCGTGTATCACTATTGCGCGAAGCACGTTAAGGACTCCAGGCTACCGGTTGTACTGCACTGGCTACATTGCTCACATACAGCTGGGAGACAAGTCTCCCGTTGAGACAGACCAAATTCTAGGCTGCATAAACATGCACACACCTCAATTTGTTTCCAGACAGGTAAGGTAGTACCGCTTAATTCCACCGTGACATAGTAAGATCACTGTTGAAAGAGGTGTTCATGACGGGCAATAGAATAGTGAATGCCCGAGGTTATTTATGAAGACACTAAAGTTATTTAGAGGTTCATTTGATTTTGCCTAAAAAATTAGAAAGGTGAAGAGAATTAGAAAGGAGAGAGAGCCCGTTTGGTTTTCTTAGTAATCCGAAAAACGGGAAGTGTTAAATTTAGAAGAAAAAAAATTGTTTCGGGCGCCAAAACACTAATGTCAAAATTCAATTTGCATCTCAGGGTAAGCATCTGTATGTTGGTTAAGAAAATATATTGTAATTGTTCAAAATAAGACAAATCATGTTTTTTTTTCTTATATCCAGTAGCCACCAAACAAGGTCTACAGCGAATGAAAAAATGTGAAATAATGTTAAATAAAAAAAAAAATGTTGTTCGGAATAAGTATTTTAGCCTTCTTTGCAACTCATTCAACTATTTCTTTTTTTTTATCTCAAAATACATATTAGTAGGGTGCCTTCATGTGCGCTTTGCTTAGGGTGGAGACATGTGGCCATTTTGTCCCACAGTTTTATTTTTATTTTTTGTTCAGACGCGCGTGAAAGAGCGTGTCCCTGCACGCGTTTGTGGCGCTGTCTGTGCAATGGCGACATTTTGTTTTCGTTGATTTCTTTGTATTTTCCCCGTGAGCGCGTGCTGTCGGCATCGGATACTACAAAGGGTGGCATCACCCTAAGCAGAAGGACATTGAGGCACCCTACATATTAGGATATCTCTGTTCAACCCTGCACGATCTTAGGGTGCTTACGAGCCACGCTTGTAGCGTATGCAAGCGCTTTGACCACGCGCGCTAAGATAGCACACACAAAAATAGAACCAACAAATGTATCGCATTCAGAGCCGTATCAGGCCTTTCGCTACGAGTCTGCTGATGACTAGTTACACGTTTTTGGAACGTTCAAAAAGTGCCGACCAACGGAGCCATCAATTGTAATTCTGTTGTGTCTATGTTTATACAGCAGGAAGTTAGTCAACTCTGAGGGCATCTGGTGTCTTCGTTGGAGATGAAAGACATTGCAGTATAGCGCTGCTTGTCTGACGACTTTAACGTGCATCACGCTATAGTGATACATGACAGCAGGCCGGTACGATGCTCATCCAGATTGAAACTGGCAGAGGCGGTGTATTGAATCCACGATCACTGCTCATTCACACTGGAAGCGGATCCGCGTTCGCAAAGCGGTTGCGAACGTGGTTGTATAAAGATTCAGTACAGTTGCACGCGCACTCGATGACATCAAGTGCGCGTGCAAATGTACTGGATCTTTATACAACCGCGTTCGCAACCGCTTTGCGAACGCGGATCCGCTTCCAGTGTGAATGAGCGGTCAGTGAGCTTTACAACGTGAGCTTTCGCTACACGTGCTACCGATCCACGGGCAACGAAACATCGCGGTCGAATTCGAGCCCGAGAGAAATACAACAGCAACAGCAAGAAAATCTCCGGTTTGAGGCATTTAGTACTTGTTTCGCCATCTCGTTTAACAAGTTGGAAATAAAATTAACAAGGTGATTTTATTTACACAAATACGCCAATACATTATTTTGCTTTCTCGTCATGGTCTTAAAATTAGGATTGGAGACACCCCTAGTACGTACGGCCAAGCGTTTTGTCACGTTTGTCTTCTAAATAATTGTATTTTCAAAAATGCCACAAAACGCACTAAAAAAAGTCAAAACGGTCATAATTCTGGATTTTATTAAAAATCTCCAGCGCTCCAAAAGAAAGATCAAAGGGCCGTACAACCTTCATTACGTTATCATAAGTAACCCCCAAAAGAATGAACACTATCGTGCATTTTTGAAATTCAGGTTTGTGTAGCGAAATTTGCCCAGTGAGTGACGAGGGTTGAATCTCCCTTAAAGCTTGGACATCATTGCGCGGGATACGCCTGCCCGGTTCAACTATGCGCTATGGTGTCACCCCTTCCCGTGAAACAAATGGATTATATTTAATTCTTATTCAGTCGGAAGTAGTCGTATTTAGTTACATATGTATTTATTTGGTAAACACAAACCAAACTTGGGAAAGTAGAAAGTCTTAGAGCAAAATAAAGGCTTCAAGCTAAAATAGTTATTCTCACATCCTGTCCCGTGGATAAGACCACGCTTTCTCTAATATTATCTATCGTTATTAATATTAGGCTTTAATAAATGGTAAGGCCTCCAGACGTTCAGAAGGTCTCGCTGGTCTACCGGACCTCTGCCAGAGCCGCTGCCATGCTGGTCTCGTTGCGTGTGAAGCTCCGGTAGATGTGCTCCAGCGATGTGTCCGTGATGAAGAAGTCCTGCAACTTGAACTTCCTTTTGATCTTGCCCATAAGAGTGAACATCTCGCTCCACAGCATGCTCACTTGGGTCATGCGAAACTCCAACAGGCCCTGGTATCAGAAAGTTAAATTAGCCGAATAAGGCACCAATAGACTGTTCTCCTATTCCTTCCGGTGTATACTCTCGTGGACACTTTTGGCTATTGCCGACGTTTGAGACCAAAGGCGTCGCCGGTCTCCTACGTTTAGCCAAACGCGTCGTAAGTATGCTGAATTCTGCTTACATTGATGAAAATAAAAGGTATTTCAGACTGGCAACTTCGACGGTGCTGAATTAAAGGGGGCACGAAGCGATATCGGTTTGAAATGTTCATGACCCTGCAGAGCCGCACTGGTCCTAGTCTGGCCCAAGTATATACTCGCCAAGAACGCCGCTGACTCAGAAGCTTCTTTGTCAAAACGGGACTATTTCTTTCAGTCTTGCCTTCGCAAAGCCCGATGACGTTATTGCGGGATCCAAACCACCCGCCGTAGGACAGTCGAGCGCGTCCCATGGATTGGGCACGAGAACTGCGTGTGCACTCGACTTCGGCTCGTAACAATCAATGCCTTGGCGGACACTCAAGCAGTGGCTCGTGTTCAACCACTGCGTTGATAAATAGCCGAACTCTTACAATGCCTGGAGCTCAGCCCGCGTTTTCTACTTTGCCAACACTAGCGCGTGGCTATGACGAACGTTGGCAGCATAGGAGAGGCAACAGGCCACGTGGCCGCTTCGTCTAGCTCCGCGTTGAGGGAATGAACAATGCTCTTATTTTTTTAATATTTTTTGGAGAGTGCCATATGGCCTAGGAAGAAAAACTGATATAAGTTGATTCAGTTATTAACGATAGTGACTTATTCTAGGTAGTATATAGCGACTGTAGCAAAGATGTATGGCGAATTGCTAGGCAATTTCGATGGATACGTGAATCATTCTCACAAACGTTCAGCGAGAGCTGCACCTCCTGGCTGCAGCGATATGCAATGGGCGTCAAGTAATGTCAATTTCCCGCTAAATTTGGCGGGGAAGCTGGATTGGTGTTTAGGTCACATGACGAATTATTTCCCCGCTAAATTTAACGGGGAAACTAAATTTATGTGTAGGCCACGTAACGTCAATTTCCCCGCTAAATCTAGCGGCGAAGTCATCTGACGTCAATTTTCCCACTAAATCTAACGGATAAGATGAATTGGTGTGTAGTTCACGTGACGTGAATGTTTCCGCTAAATTTAGCTGGGAAACTTAATTTGTATATAGGTCACGTGACATGACGTCAGGAGACATTGTTTATCCAGCTAAATTTAGCGGGTAAACATAATCGGTGTTGAGGTCATGTGACGTGAATTTTCCCAGTAAATCTAGCAGGGAAACTTAATCCGACTCTTCTTAGTCCCGCCTCACGAAATCCGGAGTAACTATAGTGACGTGACATGTCATCATGTGACATCATTTTCCCCGCTAAAATTAGCGGAGAAAGTGAATTGGTGTTGAGGTCACCTGAAGTCGATTTTCCCGCTAAACCTAGCGGGGAAATTTAATCCGGCTCCACGAAATTCACGAAAACTAGCCAAAAAACGTTTCGCGTTAAAATCGTTTCATGACCCCTTTAATGACGCGATAACTTCTCGCTCACACCGTGGTTTTTACACACACAATCGAAATTGTCGCTTGTAAGCATCAAAGTTGACAGTCGGACAATTGTGGTCAATTCTGGCAGGCCGACAACAGCGAAGTTTTCGGTCTCGCACGTAATCCAGCATCTACAGATACTCTGAAAAAAACAACCTTTAAAAACCCCCCAAAAAGTGTTTTTTTTTTTTTTTTGTTTTTTTTTTAAACATTCTTGTCGGGACAGGCGTGTCAGAAAATGAATTTTATGCGGGAAAAAAGTTAGAGCGATATTGACGGCGAGAGATTTATTTGAAATCCTGCGCGCGAAGTCCATGACGTCACGGTTCATTCCGGAATGACCTTCTCGGTCGTGAAGGCGAAGCCGATCCACCTCTCCCGACGCGTCCAAAATGCCAACAGAAAAAAAAAAAAAAAAAAAAAAATTGTGAAAAGGCGATTGCCGACCAAATCGCGTCTCGCGCCATCATTATAGCTCTAAAAATTATTTTCTCGCGTAAATGTTTTTTTTTTCTGACGCGCGTGTTCCAACCAGACTGATAAGAAAAAACATTTCTTTTTCTTTCCCAGAGTTTTTTAAAGAGTGACGACCGAGATTGCCGCTGCAGGGCTCGTACCTCGTAACTGTGCGCCAACTGAGCCTTGGGGAAGTCCATCTTGACGGCCGTCAGCACGCCCTTCTGGTACACGAAGTCCTGCTTTTTGTCCGGGTACGTCTTGACGGTGATGGTGACACCCTTGCCAAACTTCTGCTTCAGGTGCGGCAGCGAGCCCAGGCACTGCAGCCTGCCGCTCCCCAGGATGGCTATCCGGTTGCACAGGAACTCCACGTCCGTCAGGCTGCAGCGCGCACCGAATCAATCAATCAATCAATCAATCAATCAGTACTTCATTTCACATCAAGCGTTGATGTAGGCTGCAGGGGCAAAAAGACACAAAAGATTTGACTTGACAAGGACTGAAGCCTGGTTCAGACAGTTGCGTTTGACTGCGTTTGACTGCGTTGCGGCAGCGAGAAACCAGGACATCCCTGCTGCTTATATCGCGTGACAAGTCGATTCCTTGGATTGGATTCCACGCTTCATACGAAGCACAGATGTGCCGGTGACTCGCTTTCCGTACTCGACGCAACGCAGTCAAACGCACTCAAACGCAAGTGTCTGAACCGGCCTTAAGGCGAACGACCGAGTCAATTGCCTTAGTAATGACTTGGACTGATTCGAGGATGTTTATATATGGCATCGATGCGGTGACACGGCTGCTCGGAAAGCAGAGTCGCTCCACATGCCTAGTGATTGCTGGGGAAATGAAAGAGCGGTCGCTCCACTCCTGCCGAGTGGCTTTTTTTTTTTTTTTTTCCCCGGTGAAAGCGAAACTGCTTAGATCGGCTGCAGTGAGGGGTATTCTATTGAGCCTGCATCCAAGCCTAAATTTGACACTTGTTTCTCAATTTAGGCCAGAAGTAGCCACATGAAAACCGGGAAACCAGAAGTGAAGCCTATATCTGGCACGTGTTTAATGACTTTGGCCCAAAGAGGCCAGATGACAGCCAAACTGCCAGTAGTGAAGTCCGCCACTTGTTTGGAGTATTAGAGCCACGATACCCACTTTCCGACCAAAGGCTTTCAAGTTTGTTTCTACCTTGGCACCTTTGGGATCTTTAAAAACCTAAATTCCCAGACAAAATCAAATTTCGACAAAAAAAAAACAAAAAAAACTGCCACCTAGGCAGCTTTACCCAGTGTACTGTGTACCTGTGCGAGGTAAGCACGATGGACATCTTGGCCGTTCTCTGCAGGGCGGTGATGTAGTTGATGACCCTCTTGCGCGCCGTCGTGCCGATGCCTGCGTAGGGCTCGTCTAGCAGTAGCACCCTGGGCATGCCGACCATGGCCAGGCAGAGCGACAGCTTGCGTTTGTTGCCTGCGCTGCAAAGGACGAGGAACTCGGCGCTTGGTATACGGCGCTTGTAACGCGTCTCACAACTTGTCTTCAACTCCAACGTGTTTACCGCGACCTAAAAAGTTGTTCCTCGATTCCCGCCTAACGACGCCACAGAAGTCTCATGGCGGTGTCACAGCAGCGATGGTACATGTGGCAGACGCTAGTTTTGCTGCATGTGTCCCTCCAGCTTTACAGTTCACGGAAGCTTCGACGGCTAGGAGTTGACGACGCCGCAATGACAGAAGCACTCGCGTTCTTTTTGTGCTCTGTTCTATAACTTCGACGCCCAACCGCCGTGATAATCGCATTCGACAGCGTGACACTGGGTATTTTGTGACGTAATTTGTTGTCACTTTGGGGCTGCTTCCGATGCATGGACGGAATGCGGAGATCAGATCGTCTGCTTCCTGCACAGGAGTTGCGGTGAAGTCAGAATGACGCCGAGCTCTTATTGGCTGATTGAAAAAAAGAAAAAAAAAAAAAAATAGTGGGTAGACCTCGAGGCAGCTAGCATCGAGTTCTACCCACTATAACATTTCAATCAGAACCAATCAGATCTTGGCGTCGTTCTGACGTCACAGCAACTCCTACTCCGGAAGCAGACGACTTGCTCTCAGCATACGATTCTAAGCACACCGGTCGAACACGCGTTCCAGGCGTCGTATAATTACAAGACTAACCTGCATCGTAAAGACATTGCTTTTCCAATGACTTTATTATGACATGTGATTTGTATTCGTCATTTTATTTTGTGTATTTTATAAACATTCAACGTGAGCTGGGAGAAGTTCATTTTGAGGTTTGTTGTTGTTCAAACCAGACTTCATTATCTTCTCGTTCGTCTGAATCGGATAAAAATAATTTGAAAAGGAGAACAGAAATTTCATGTAAATGCAATCGGAGAAGAAAACGATATCTAGATTTTTTTTTTGAAGTAACGACCACTGCTTGCAGTTTAGTTGCATCAACAAGTAATGAAATGGCATGGCTGAGCCCTCTGACAAATAGTCAAGAAGATAATAAAAACAACTTTTAAAAACTGATCTCCAGTTAACTGATTGCTTCTGATGCTTCGCGTACAAGTTTGAAGTCATGTCCGAAAGTCGTGCTTGAGAGAACCAGATTATTTAATAAAAAAATTTTGTTTTTACTTTTCGGCGAAAGTTTATTTCTGTAGAAAGTTAAACTTTTTCCAGTCATTATTTTTCTGGCGTTCTTCTCGATCCTAGGACCACAAGTCCAATTTTATTTATGTACTTGCTTAGAATTATTGTCATGCCACTCTCGAGGACCATTACAGGAATTAATGTAAAAAAAATTGGAAAAATCAAATAGCCACAAAAAAATCTAGTTTCTTGTTTAACAAAAAAGAAGCGAACAAAATCTATCATTAGATAAAATTCACTATGCGAAATGTCATTTGGGGCCCGATTCAGTTAAGAACTGAGCGATGGACTTTTCCAATGAAGAGATACTTGTTTATGATATTAGCCTCGTTGAGCAGTAGATTCCCAGTCACAATCCATCATATAAAATTTCTCTATTTGGAGTTTGTAAGTACGAAATGTTTGGGTGCGAGTTTGTCCACTTAACCGTCTTGAACATGCGGCGTGAGTATATATATATACTTGACTTAAAGTTAACCATGTGTCTTTGATCCTCAAAGAAAACAACTTCACATTAGCGATTTCTTGTCTACAAAAAAAAAATGAGAGTGGTACATGGAAAGCAACACAAGTCAGACGAGCCTCCTCCGTATTCGTGTTTTACTCATCAACATGATGAAGCACCAACATGAATTTTCGCCATTTACAGGATTCCCATTACGATTGGTGAGATTCCGCCTAACCACAGCTTATATTTGCCTTTCTTACCTGTAAGTGCCCACCAGGTTGCCGGCGATGTCTGCAAGGTCAAAGATCTCGAACAGCACTTCCAGGTAGTCAGCGTCGTTGGCGACGCCCTTCAACCGCGAGTGAAGAATCAGCGTCTCTGTGCCCGTCAGCTCGTCCACGAGGCCGTCTCGTTGCGGGCAGTAACCCAAGTGTGCTTGGACCTACGCAGACAGGCGCTCTCAGCTGTTGAGCAGCGCCTCGTAAATCAGCAGTGTTTAGAAACGTGCCACCCAAGCTAATGCCAGAACCATTTATCCGTAGACACTCAGAGTACCTAAGTATTTAAGTCGAATAAACAATCGAGTAACGGCCCGTTCATACACTTGCGTTTACTTATGTTATAGTCGGTGACAGCTCAAAAGTCTAGGATAAGCTCTTCCCTTAAAGCTCTACACTCTCCACATTTAGTGGAGCGAACGCTGGAGATGAGATGAGTCCGTCCTCACATTGTCTCAAGCGTTCAATCTGATCAAGTGGAGAAGTGGGGGGTTCTTGTGAGGAGCTTGTTTTGCACTCTTCAGGACGGTTCCCACATGCAGTGCAGCGCTGATACAGCGCAATTAACGTGTCTGCAGCCACCTACCGTCTGCCATGAGCGAAAGTTTTGGCAGTGCGATACAAATCTAGTAAACGCTCCCGTCAGCAAGTGCTTAGCGCGAAGTTGGCGTTGTGCGTATAGCGCTGCGATGTATGTGTGAACAGGTCTTTACCATGTGACTAACTATACTTCGTTTCACGTTAGCGAAGGCTAGAAGCGCGAGCTCATAGCGTTGGCAGCTGCTCTTAAGTCACGAGAGCTTGTGCTGCCGAGATGTGCCCCACAGCAAGGAGCTCACGCTTGTAGCGTTTCCTGCGGTACATCATAAAATGAAACAGAGCATACACACTCCGTTGGTTCAGGAGTCTAAGCAAGTTTTCTCAAGGAGCTCACGAGTCTGGTCTGCCGAACGATCGAAAAGCCGTCGAGGAAGACGTCTCCGTCGGCGGGCAAGACGTCGCCCGTGAGGATCCTGAAGGTGGTCGTCTTTCCGGCCCCGTTGACGCCCAGCAGGCCGAAGCACTCCCCGGTCCGCAGGACGAAGCTGAGGCCCTGAAGCACGGGCTTCTTCTGCCACCAGCCGTACGCCTTCGTCAGGCGGCTCACAACCATGGCGGGTCTCTGGTCTGGCCCGAGCGGTCTGGCGTCTCGACCAACAGATCCGCTCAGGGTGTCGACCAAGGCGTTTTCTCGCACGGCATCGGAGTCCTCAAGCATCACCTGTAAATGGTGTAAATGTTTGAACGAGTGTCTACGCAGTCAAGGAGTCACTAAGGTTTTTAGGTTTTCTTTGCCTCGAGAATTATTAAAATGGTAATGAAACGGCATTGAATCATGAAACGGCATATGTCCGCCCCAAACTAGAATTTTCATTAGCTACCTGGAGCCCCATGCATCAGAAACACCTAACCGCTCGCATCGAATCAGTTCAGAATCGCGCAGCACGCTTCTTAGCAGCAGCCTATTTTTTAACGCGAGTGTTTCTCCCCTCAAACGTCAGTGCTCGTTACCTTTGCTTGAAGTGCGTCGCACCGTTTCTCTCATGTGCATACTACATAAGTTGTATTACAGCCATTGTTATACAAACATTTCGTTTTTTAACCCGCCCAATAGATCACCCCATCGCACCATAAACAGCAAAAGGTTTCAACATATCACTGGTTCAACAAACGAATTCATTGATTCAGTTGTACCATATCCGCACAGGAACAACTTTCCCGAGTTCATAGCCACCATTACTGACACTAAACTATTAAGTGAAAGACGTATCTTGATCTTTCAAATCTACCGCGTTTCTTTCCTAATTACACATACTTCGTTTATTATGTTATATTTTTATCATTCTCGTGATACATTCAATCATGTAATCACAATTCAACTTATCTTTTATGTGCAAATTGAGTGACACCTGTACTGCAGTTTTGTGTATTATTATTTATTGGGTTTCTTTATTTCTATATCTGTTTATATGTCTCGCCCCTCTTACAGAAAATTCTCAACGAGCCCGTAAGGTTTGACGAAAATATAAATAAATATATCTGGACGTGACGACCTCTACGCAAGCGTACTGACAGAAGTTCACTATGTACTAGCATACTCGCACAAAACAACACATTCTATAGTTTTGTAAGATGTAAGGGTAGTCGCACTGCTTATACATAATACAAAAATAAATCGGTGCTCGCACCAGACATGATAATAAAATCATCCGTAGACACATCTCAAACATGTTTGAATCAACACATGCGTCGAACATGTCTGCATGCAGTTTGTGTGTGACCGTTCACGAAGGAAGAATCGCTCCTCACACAATGTCGGCAGAGGGTCTTTTGTCTGACGTATCAGGAGTGCGACCACGGTTTTTAAGGATTTATTTCCATCAGCATCTCCTCTCATTGCAGGTAGATGGGTCACCTTGGTGGGGGAGGCGATCAACTTTGGCGTTGCGGTGGCTCGGACGTTTTCTTGGGGCGCGCTGAGCAGTCTCTCTACGCGGTACGCCCAGCGGGACTCGACGAACATGAGCACGAGGAAGAGGACGAGTCCCTCGACGGCCAGCGTGGTCGCCTCGTAGAAGGCCGAGTACGGGTGCACCGACAGGGCCTGGATCGTGGCGTCCTCGGGACGCTGGCCTTTGGGCACTGCGGGGGATTGGGCGGGAGAGCGAACACTGAGATGAAACATTTACGCACCTAGCGATTTACTTTAAAGCTGTGTGGGAGACACGCTTAAATTACTTGTTTCTGCATGTCGCAGCGCTCGGTTGGGGACGCTGGACCGATTGAACACGAGTTCATGTCGACACAGTTATCGCGTTCAAAACGTGCGTTCGAACGATGTAGATGACGTGAAGTGCAGAGGCACCAGCCATGATTGGTTATTTCACTAGGGACATGCGCCGGTACCCGAGGCCGAAGACAGCAGATGATCTTTAATCAAAAAGAGGAGACAAGACTGGGCCGAGAGAAGAAAATTACAATCGAGTTATCTTCCGTACTGCCTAAGCCCAAACTCCCTCTCTTGCACGCCCAGCAATGCCATCTTTTCCCACATGTCCCCCGTGCTAGACAGCACGAGTGTCGTCAGTTCACTGATACACCGGGGCACACGAGCAAAAGAGAAATATGTAAACCAACGAAAACGAGCGTGCGTCTCACTCTTGCGTCCCTTCACGAGATAGTGCGGCTGATTCTCACAGCACCTAAAATTATGAAAACCAGTGTACTAGCATATGCTTATATCGTTAGAGTGAGATCGAACGCAGACGCAGATTGGACACAAACGCTGTGTTGGTGTTCGGCTGGGACGCGTGTTCCATCCGTGTGTTGAAGAACGCTCGATGTCAGGTACCGGACCGATTGCTAAGTTTGCGTCAACCTGATGTGACGCGACGTGAAGGTAGATGAGGTTGTTCACATGTTTGGTTACCCTGAGTAGTGTTGGGAGAGATCTTGTTTTGGTTAAACATCGTGGTTTGTGGCAAACAAGCCGGACAAAGCAAGCACCCCCTATGTGTTTTTGTGACAATCCCTGACAGTACTTATAAAGAGCATTCGCTCTACGGGTGACTTCAATAACCTTCTTTCTTGTGTAACAAGCAGCGATACTGCACAAATCTTGTATGAGCTGCATCTTTAACCTTAACCCCATCTAAAAAAGGAGGATTTTGCGTGCGGGGTCTCTCACCTTCGCAGCATAGTTTGAGCGATAACTTGAAGTCGACGGCGTGCGTGTGGCAGACGCGCTCGAGGTTCACGCCGCCCGTGCGGCATATCTTGTTCTCGCTGCTCAGCTCCAGGATCTTGGTCATGCCCCGGGAGTAGGAGAAGGAAGGCACGAGCAGCATCGCCTGCAGCATCACTTCGAGTGCCACCATGACCAGGGGAGCGTTGATGGTGTACGCGAAGTGTTCTACGAACACCGTCCCCAGGCAGCCCAGGAACGCTGGGATCGAGACAGAGCAGGCCAGAAGGTAAGGACACGGACGCGTCTTCTCCAACGTTTCGAACCGTTGGATATGACAGATTCGGCCCAGTCTGTGCTCTGTCCGTTTCTTGTTTATTCCATCCTTGTGAAAGTATTATTTAACGGTGGTAAGGTCTGGTAATGTACTACGTAGATATGGCCCCGTCAAAGTTGTGTTCGTTTTTCTGCATTCTAATTATTAAGCCACTCTATAGTATGTTTCAATTGTTCTAGGGTGGGGCGCTACATTATGCTAAAATTCGTAACATACCGTAGCACCGTAGCGTTACGTAAAAAGTATGAAAAGCATTAAACGATAAACTATCAGTAGTACTGGGCGGACAGATAGTCTTGTTTAATATCATAACAATCATAAGAAAGTTGCCCAAAGGGATTGAATTTATTTGGAACAGTCAACGTTATTCGCAGCACTAATTGCTTTCTCTTATAATACTTTACCCCAAGAACGGCGTTGTCGAATAAAAAAATGCAAACACGCCCCCGTCTAAACCGCTATAATTCTGTAATTGAGGCATAAGTATGCTGATCCGGTTCAATTTAGACTATACTTGATCAATTAAGGGAGGCATCACTGCACCAGTATAAGTGACATCAGCTTTGCTGAAACGTTTAATGCGTCACTGGACGTAGAAGTTAACAAAAAAGTGAGTAATTAAAATATAGTAAGATTTGAACGATGTGGCGTAGATATTTGAGCGTACACAAAATAAAGGCGGTGATGGCGAGGGTCGAGTAGCCCTGGATGGGGTTGTCAAAGAAGAAGGACGCGATGTAGATGCCTGGAAGGACGGCGAATCCATGCAGCAGGTTGAGAAGAATAATGGCCTCTGCAGAAAGAAACATAAAAGAACGTGGGAATAACGAGGGAACATATTTCCTAAATTGTTTCTAAAGCTCCAGATTAATCGCACTCTAACTTCCAGGGAGCCCCAATGCCCGAGTCACACTACAGCGACAAACAGAAACAAACGACAGCGGCAATCCCTCAAACCACAGTCTTTCGCGATTTGACAGGCTTTGTAGAACAAAGGAGGCTATATTCAAACACAAGCATCATGCACGGGATCGTATCTTTGGCAGGATCGCAACCACTCGTGCTTACTTCACGAGTACCGAAGGACTAAACGCCTGCCAAAGGTATCATCGCGAGCATGCTGCATGAGTTGGAGGCTTGTCGCTGTCGTTTGTTTAGGCATAAAGCTAATAGGCCAAGCTGCAGGTATACCTGCAGCTTAGCCTCTTAGCTTATAAGCATGAAGACACTAAGTCGTCTAGTGATATATGTCGATTACCACTACGAAGCTTCTACAATGTATTTTTTCTTTTATACTGGCGAAGGAAAGCTTTTTTTTTTAGAGCGCAGCTCTTAGGCGCCCGTTTCCGTCTTGAGCGGCGTCGCCGTCGCCGTCGGCGTAACCGCGCGGTGCATTATGGGTAAATTTCCCCGCTAAATCTAGCGGGAAAATTTCCCCGCTAAATCTAGTGGAACAATTTCCCTGCTAAATCTAGCGGAAAAATTTCCCCGTTAGATCTAGCGGAAAAATTTCCCCGCGAAATCTAGCGGAACAATTTTCCCGCTAAATTTAGCCGAAAAATTTCCCGCTAAATGTAGCGGAAAAATATCCCGCTAAATCTAGCGGAAAATATTTTCCCGCTAAATCTAGCGGAAAAAAGTTCCCCGCTATATCTAGCGGAAAAATTTCCCCGCTAAATCTAGCGGAAAAAATTTCCCCGCTACATCTAGCGGAAAAAATTTCCCCGCTAAATCTAGCGGAAAAAAGTTCCACGCTAAACCTAGCGGAAAAAATTTCGCCGCTAAATCTAGCGGAAAAAAGTTCCCCGCTAAATCTAGCGGAAAATTTTCCCCGCTAAATCTAGCGGAAAAAAGTTCCCCGCTAAATCTAGCGGAAAAAATTTCCCCACTAAATCTAGCGGAAAAGTTTCACCGCTAAATCTAGCGGAAAAAAGTTTCCCCGCTAAATCTAGCAGAAAAATTTCCCCACTAAATCTAGCGGAAAAAATTTCCCCGCTAAATCTAGCGAGGAAATTTTGGTCACGTGACCTGGGGAGTCACGTGACACCCCGAGGTCACGTGACCTCGGAGGGGGCACGTGACTCCCTCCACGTTACCCCACCACGGTCACGTGCCCTCGAGGGGGGGGGGGGAAGTCACGTGACCCCCCCCCCCCTCCCGAGGACACGTGGCCCTCAGTACCCTTCCCTCCTCCTCCTCCTCAAGAGCTGCGCTCCAATTCGGCGTTACAGGGAGTTGTAAACGGCTTCCACTTTTTTTTTTGCGAGAATTATACTGATATCTATCCAAGAAGAAACCGAAAGTAACAAAAATGGCGAAGGTAGAACCGAGACATCGTTGCAACTGTTAGCACAAACATGTTTATGTTGCCAGCTAGAAAAAAAATCAAAAAAACCTTGTCTTGTCTTTCACCATCTTATATTTAATTTTTGCTTTCCGTTTATTTTCGCAAGATTACCTCTTCGTCGAATGTACCTGGTCATTTTAAAATACATTTCACTTTTACACTTAATCGCTCAGGATGCTATTGGCGGAATGCACTTCCACCGTTGTATTAAATACTTTTAAAAAAATACCGTAATTATTAACAGGATGAGAACAGCAGGGGCCCCTTTTAAATGCCCGGCCTCCTGCACGTGCTCCTTGCTTTCTGCCGTGCTTTGGCAAAGGGTTTCCAAGGGCATAGCTCGCGCTAGAAGTGGGACAATCAAAGGACATGTCTGCCATTCTCGATTACTGGCAAAGTGTGCCACAAAACTCATCTTTGTGGTCGTCCTTACATGATTGGCAAAACGCTCACTTGGACGTGTTGAGTATGGTGGCTTATACTTTCATTAATGGAAATAGAAGGAGTGTCAGGCTGTCGACTTTGTCGGTGTTGGTTTAAGGACGCGACTGCTACAAGCTTCCGGCGTGGCTTTTTACACACACCATCGAAATTGTCACTGGCCATCAAAAATTGACAAACATAGCAACCATCGAAATACCTCGTGGCTAATAAAAGGATCCACAACCCAGTTTTATTCTACCCCCTCCTAAATATGAAAAACTATAACAAATCTCCCCAAATGCATCGTCCCGTAGTTATTCGTTGATAAAATGCTCACGAGTGTCGATGCCCACGAGGTAGTCGAGCTGTGAGAGCAAGGGAGGCAGCACAAAGAGCGCCGTGCCCAGGTAGAACATGAAGTCCCAGAAGAAGTTGGCCGACCAGTACAACAAGCTGCTCACGCCGTTCATAAAGTGCAGGTGCTTCACCTGTTCACAAGGAAAGCCGCTTCTTTTTATCCGTTTTATTTGAGCGTATTGAAGAAAGCACAATGCCAGCGTAAGCTGCAAGAATATTTACTATCAACTGCTATCGCGAGAATATCCTGTTCCTTGATCTAAAACTCAATGTGCTCTCTGATAGAGCGAGTTTAGCTACACGCAATATTACCTAATTTTAAGATACAAGAAAACAGAAGATATCAGCATATTTTTGAGTAATCAGTCGCTTAATGGGTTCATAGGTCTGCTTAGTTGTGTGCTAATTACGAGAAAGTGTAGCCTTGCAAATTGTGGAGATGCCATGTCAAGTTTACCATATTTGTTCCAATGAAACTACGAACTGTTTCACAACTGAACACTGTTACTGACTATACATAATGTTAAAAATGCGCCGACCAAACACCACAATTTGCCAACCATGTGATGAAGCGCAGCAGCTGTGACGTCCGCGTGACATTTTCAAAATGGCTGGGTCTTTAATAATTACGCAATAATCTCGGTAGAGGACGATTTGTGTATCGCGGAGGAACGATGGCTGGCGGATATGAGGGTGTGTGTGCAACCTCTGGCGCAATCTTAATTTTTACTTGATTTTAACGGGCTACAAGTGCAGAAGTTCGTTGTTGCCATTGGCTACTTTAAAAGGCTACAAGTGCCTTGTCATTAATAAATCCGATGAATAGGGCCGTACTACATATTTCCGTTTCTCCCTCCAAAAGCATGCAAACCTAGGTGTGAGAAGTGGTAACTCATGATGACTTCACTGCGGGACCACGCAGTCCACAGGTCAGCCGTAGTTTCAGAGAGGCATTAAAACACTGCAACCCGATGAAGTTCATAGATTTGACTCAAGCCCCAAATGTGCCCTTGGCTTGGCGTTCTCGGCATTCGAATTGGAGCTCGTGTTCGGTCACTGCCTTAACCAAAATTGACAATTTCTGGCAAAACGACTATAAGGCGGCATGTTAGGGCAGATCAAGGCTTAATTCGAGATCACGTGTTCGTCTGTTGAAGTGATTACGGGAGCTTTATGTTATTTTTTCAGTTTCCTCTGTAAACGCACGAAAAGGAAAGATCGCAACCTGAATAATCTGGAAAATCATGGCTATTGGTGAGGTTGATACTTAAACAAAAACATAAAAATCTGAGCCTGAAAAGTGTAAAATCAACACCTCCTTGATAAGATTGCCTTCGCGGTAGTCTCCCACCGAGAGGTTGAATGATTGGATAAATGGACGATAACGGCTGTACCGTATATAGCGGGCGGTAGCTTGCCCCACCTAGCGTAGAAACCAAAAGGACACACATGGGACATCAGTGTTGCTCGGCTGGGGCTCGTATCCTCACTGATTGAACACGAGCCCCATTAGGCGAACGCTGACGCCGAACTCGTGTTCAATGTGCACATGGTCTGACATATATGGGACGTCTGAAAGAAAACCAAACCGTATTTTTCGCATCACGAAAATAATAAAATAAAAAAAGACTTCGCGGAGAGGTCAGTCCGTCAAGACGTAAGCCCAACCGTAAAAAAAAAAAAAAGAAAAAAAAAGAAAAGAAAGATGTCGACGTTTTAGCACTCTTCGTTATCTTATTCAAAAGTTAATGTGATTTTCTGAAATGTTCAGAGAAAAAATTTCTCTGATTTCAGTTTTTGTCCCCATAGAGCTTCATGTATTCGAGAGCTCCGTCAGCCGCCATTTTTCCATTCAAAGTTTTGAGAAAATCGCTTACAACCTTCGAATAAGATGACGGTTGGTGCTGAAACATTGGCACCTTTCTTGAACGGCTGTGGCTACGTTGTGACGGAATTTGAGCTCTCCGCTATGTCTAGTTTATTTTTTCGGTGCGAAAATCTGGGCTCACAAAACATTAGTACATGAGGACACACAGCTTGGTGAGCGCTGCGACGCGATCGACCAAAAATAGTCCTATTGCCGCGCTCCGGAGTAGCCTCAACCGACAGCGCCTCCACCTACCAAATGACGCGACTGAAAAAAAAAAAAAAAAAAAAAAAGTGTCATTTTTATTATACCCTTGCGCGCGCTCTTTCAGATCAGAGCGTCGGCTTTGACCATGACGGACGCTGGCTCGACCACCGTGCCAGAAATCTTTCTGCTTCAACGCGTTAAAAAAAAGAAGATATATTTCCGCCGTTGGGGCACGAAACTATGGTCTTTGACGAAGCACTGCCTGAGCAACACGAGTAGCGCAAGTGTCAAGTTCTACATGACGTCAGGCACCTAGAAAACGACAAAAAACAAGCGCGTGTCCAATCAAGAAGCATGGGAAACCAGGCCCGCGACAGGCTGACATTAGCCGGATATTAAGGAGCCACCTGGTGTCGCCGTTTGCAACCGAGGCAAGGAGCGGTACTTTATCTGGCAGCTGCGACGCGTGGGTGACGAAGCAGATCTACCCATGTTGCGTCTTTATCTAGGTGATGTTGGGGAAAATACGGGGGGGGGGGGGGGGGACAGAGCGACGTAGGTTACCTGAGTCATCCTCTCTATGACGGGATAGATGACGAAGTTACTGCACATGAGGCTGGACACCATGGGAAAGAAGATGGAGCGCAACACCTTGGGCATGACCTCACGGTACGTGTTCTGCTGCTTCACGAGTTCGTTTTCGTCTTTCTTGACGGATGGGTGGGCCTTGACGCTGAACACCATGGTCGCTGTCGGGTTCTGGGTTAGGTTGCGCAGCCGCGCTGTGTTGAACGCGCTGAGCGCCAAAAGTCCCGCGTGGGGGCCTTCGCCGTTGTACCAGAGTAGTGTCCTGCGCATGTGCGGAAATACGTACGTTGTATGTACGATTCATGTGCAAAGGCCAGCACCTCTTAGACAGCTTTCAAACCTGTGTGTCACGCGACATGAGGTCACGTCCCGGAGGCCTGCACGGGCGCTGATTGGATACGTGTGCCGCGTCAGCGTTCGCGTGGGATATGATAGGGAACGAGTTCCACGCGAACGCTGACGCGGCACTCGCATCCAATCAGGGCCCGTGCACGCCTCCGGGACGTGACGTCATATCACGTGGCACGTAGGCTTGAAAGCTGTTTAGGAACTGCTGCAAAGGCACACAGCAGCATTGCGCGTTGGGATTGGTTTTCGCACTGCTCAATGAAGTGCTTGTTCCTTACGAACGCGTGTCATGGATTGAGCACGCTTGGGGAGTCCGGTGAGGAAGTTGGAAGGGGGTCAACGGTGGGGCAAGGAGGCGTGAGCGAGAGAAGCATTAAAGGGGCGACCGCGGCGCGGCAAGCATAGGCGAGCTAGAGTAACTGTGCGGGCTCTGCTTGCAGGGTCACAATATAGCGTTCTTTTTTCTTGCGCCGCCAACTCCTTATTGAAGGAGAAGTGGTGGGGCCTGTTTGTCGCCTTTATTTTGCGAATAATCATCCTGCACTACAATCGAACACGCTGAAAGGTTCCTTGATCGTTGAACATTATGTGAAGCCACTGGGTACAGTATAATCGCTTTGTTTTACAACGCGAGCGATCTTTGAAAACATGTTTCCAAAGTGCGGGAAGCAGACGACATGGAGTACGATCGCTTGGCTCGCGTCTGCGGCACTCGCGGAGTGATACGCGACCGGCACGTCCGGGCACCTCGGACGAGACAACAACGCGAAACTGCAACTTGCGAACGGACGACATTTTCGTCAGCTACTACGTTCTACCGAGGGCGGCGAGAGAAACAGGAGACAAATGACTGGACGACGGCGCACGCGCAGCGTGTCGCAGCACCATATCTTCTCTGTGTCGCACGCCGCAGCATGCCGTCTCACAGCCACGACATCCGCTGCTCCGGGTCTCCTGCAAAACCGACGGCCGCTCCCGCAGTGCGACCTTCGATACAACGTGGCCGGGAGCACCATTACGAAGCTCTGTTCCGCCGGTTCAGACTCTTGCGTTGGAGTGCGTTTGTCTGCGTTGCGTCGAGAACGGAAAGCGAGTCACCGGCACATCTGTGCTTCGTATGAAGCGTGGAATCCAATTCAAGGAATCATCCTGGCACGCCATATAAGCAGCAGGGATGTCCTGGTTTCTCGCAGCCACATCGCAGCCAAATGCAACTGTCTGAACCAGGCTTTACTCTAGGGCAAGCGTGGGTAAACCTAGAATGAGAGAGCGTTCAACTACACAGTCACGGTAACGTATTTTATGGACACCTTGATGTGACTATCTGGGCATGCGACGTTCTGTTTCTGTTGTCTGGACGCCAGATGCAAATGATCAACATCAATAAATTAGTTACTGCAATTTCTAGAGTTCTAACAATCGCGAAACACACGAGCATTTCATTTCAAGCGTAATCTACCTTGTTTGTATCTTATTTTTTTTTAAAGCACGGTTCTTGCTTCGTGATTCGGCATTCCCAATGCGTCAACCTCATTTGCGGTGGTGACTGCAGTGCGGCTAGGCATGGAGACAAAGCCCCGATCCGCCGCATGTCTAGCAGGAAACACGTACTACGTTGGACCTCTCGATCAGTGGAAATACGCCCTTAGAACTTTTGTAGGCGGACACCCACCCTTTTTGCTTGGTCATCTGGAACCCGGCGTGAATGTCGAAGATGTAGTGACGCAGAGAGTGCTGAGCGATGCCGAGTAAGTATTGCGCAATATTGTAGTCCGCCGGAATGTCGTCTGTCTTAAAGCTTTGTTCGACGAGGACGGGCCCGAGGTACTTCTCCATGAATGCAGACTGGGTCTCGTGCTGGACAAAACCCTGCAGCCAGGGTGCAAGGAGTCTCAATCAGAGTTATCGAAAACACATGAAACGATGTGCAGTGCTTACCTGTCATTTGTACAAAATGCCAATACGTACAGTCTGCAGTCATATAATAAGCGTCAGTATGATCCCATCTCTCTCTATAGCTGTATTAAGGCTTTCTTGTATAGGTCTGCCACAAACTACTGCAGTCAAGGCGTGCTCAAGGCCATACTTCAAAGTCAAAGCGCGAGCTCCCGACAGCAATACTGTTTCTTAAAGTAGAATGTGGTGGCGCTATGCTGAAACTTTTAATTACCATTTATATACCACAGGGTTGACTTAAAGGAGCTGTGCAACGATATTCAATTGGAATGTTTTTCTCTCTACACGAGCTTACTGGCACACCTGGGACTCAAGGACACTCACACGCAACGCCATTGGCCAAGAAACTCCTTTGTTGCGGTGTAATTTCAAGGGCAAAAGCGATCATTTTCATTCAATCTCTCCTTTGCAAAATTTGATGACGTAACTCGGGGATCGCAGTACACCCAAGTGACGATATTTGAATGAGGTTCATAGATTGGACCCGAGCATTGCGTGGGCACTCGACTTGGGCTCGTGACAATTGCTAGCTCGAGAAGCATTCCGGTAGTGACCCGTGTCCAATCGCTGCAACGACGACAACAGCCGAGCCATAACAATGTCTGGAACTCAGCGCGTGTCCTGCGCTTTGCCAACCCCAGCGCGTGGCTGTGATCAACACTGGCGGCATATAATCGGCTCCAGATCACGTGGCCACTTGTTCTGGCTGCGAGTTGAGGGGGTGAACGCTGCTCGTCTTTCTTTAATTTTTTTTCTGGGACTTCTATTGCGTGGGGTGAAAAACGAACGCGTGTTTCATAGGTCATTAACGTTAGGCATCCGTTTTAAGCGGTATTTGTGCACAGTACAAAAATTGTTGCACAGCTCCTTTAAAAAATTTTAAATCAGTGCATAAGGTCGTAAAGTATAATTCGCTTATCAGTCATCATTAAAATTCACATTTCGTTGGAATAGTCGGCAGATCACCAATTTTAGTTATGTTCAAGAAAAACAAACGCGGATGGATTACTTTTTAATTTCAAGTTCAGCTAGCCTCTATTACAGCACGACTCGTTCGCTCCCAGAACTTTGGTAGAGTTTTCAAGAACGCGGTGGGGAGCACTTCGAATAAGAAACGTTACGGCATCTAATTTTGGTACGAGATTGAATCTGTCCAGAAATCTCTTATGAACATCTGCGCAGAGCAAGAAATAATGCGGTAGGTAAGCTGAGTGGCGAGGGCCGTTCGGTAATATTTTATTAAGACCAAAGTTTCTTCGCAAGATGTATAATGAGATCAATGGTTTATTGAAGTATCTAATACCATACCCGTTTTTTTTAGTGTTTATTTTCAACCTCTTAGAATCTGCAGACGTTACTAATACGTCATAAAAGATTTGATATTCGGGTTTGGCATTGACTGATTTTTGTATTGACTTTTACTGACTTTTGTAGCGCTTCGTCGCAATAGGGCACAATATGCCATGTAATTTTGTTTATATCTCCTCTTTTGATACAGTTTCACAAGAGACCAGCAGTATGCATCAATAAAAAAAGTCGTATTTTTTGCCCACAATGTGCAAAAAAAGGCAAGCCATAACTGTAGCACGGTCGCACAATGCGGGTGGAATGGTGCCGTCACTACGTGACGGCGGAGTTGCGTTGTGGTTAATTCTCACATCCGTCGTGGTTGACGTCGTAGATACCACTGACGACTGCCACCAGTGGTCCCTGAAGTAAATGGGTAAGCTCGCGGTGGAAGTCTCTAAAACCATCCAATATTACGCATAATAACCGGATACTTCCAGAGTGGGATTTCTCACAACGCGAGTCATGTTTGAGAACAAGTCTTTCAAGCAGACGACACGATGATTCTCCCGTCGTTGCGCAATTCTGGGCGGAACGCCACAGCTGCCGTCTTCGCTCGCTTTGCCCGGCACAGTGAACGAGAAATCCCGACTTTCCTCTCTTCACGAAAACACGATGAGGATGCAGGCGAGCTATATAGTGCAAGTTTACCATTGTGTTAAAACACCTGAGACTGGCGTGAAAAAAACTTAAAACTGCCAAAAGCAGAAGATATAGTAAAATAAATCAATATACGACGTCTCGACGTTGTCTGACTGATCTCTTTCCCCGTGTCCTCTACTTCTGGTTGTTAGTTCTTTCATGCCCAGTCGAAGGTGTTTTATCAAACTGGTTCCCTCTTTTCGCAGCAAGAGCAGAGAGAAGGTTTTTTTCCAGTTGTTTAATTCTTGGCGCGCGCGGCGACGACAAGCCACGCGGGGATAAAATCCTTGCAGAGAATCGCCCATTAAACTGTCGCTTTAAAATAATAATAATAATAAAGAAAGCGCAGCTCCAGCCGCACCTTTCCGGAGCCGAGGACATCGTGGAAGCGGTAGTACAGCTCGTCTCCCCTGCCGCCCTTGGCGTGGCCGCTTCCCCGGAGCGTTACTTCCTCGAGATAAAAAAGCGAGAAGAGAAGCAACGGCGGCAGCAGCCAGCTGAAGAGCGGAAGCCTCCACTGCCGCCACGTGCAGATGGCCCTCTTGGCGAGGAGCGCACGGATGCGCTGGACCAGGCCCGGCTCCGAGGAAATGTTGTCTGCCATCACGTTGACTGCGGACTCTGTTCGGGAAGCCGACGAAAGCAATGTCAACCCTAGCGAAATTGGCGGCACCTAACGGCTAGGACAGAAAACTGTGGTGCAGGTTTGTTCGCCAGATTTCTCAAGGGAGTCACATTATCACAGTGCCTGGCGGTCTAAAGAAGAAGCAGTGAAAGAGGGTTCCAAAACGTGATAAAAATCGCCAATATGTTTTCGTGAGCTCTTGAGTAAAACCCAATGGTCAGTCTCAAAGTTTTTGGTTTGGTTTCTTTAATGGTAACATTATTTTAGAATGCGTCCTCGCAATTTCGGGTAATTCGCCCTTTGTACCCGTCTCGGCTGTACTCAACAAACGAGTAGAAGACTTGGTTTCAAGCGGACAACCAAATAAATTGTCATTTTTTTCTTCGGGACGAGCGCCGACGGCAATGTCACAATAAGGACTTTTAGCAAACCGTCACCGTGTTCTGCGTACCACACAACCGGAGCCTTTGGAGCATGCTTTTAAAGGAGCTGTGCAACAATTTTAGGGCTTTGCTTAAATAATTGTGGAAGTTGATGCCTGACACTTCTGCAGTGAACTACAGAAAACAGATTTTGCCTGGATACCCTAGTTTTTATTTAAAAAAATGAAAAAAATCCAGGTTTTTGCCACCTCTCAACTCGTGCATCGTCTTCCGGGTCACGTGGACAGTGACGTCACTTGAGTAGGCGCGGAGTTCCGGAAAAGTTCTCTCTTTAGAGCCATCAGCGAGCAGCGGGAACTCATCCGCTCGCGACCGCGTGACCACCCGTCCTTGCCCGTCCGGCGCTGTCCCCCTCCCCCTCCGGCTTCTGGCGGCTGTTCGCGGTTTTGTGGACCTAGGATAGATGGCGCCACTAAAACTCCGTATATTAAAAGTTTTGTCGATGATACCAGGGTTTTGACGCATTTATATATATGTTGGAACGACAAGATTTATAACAAAGTTACCTTTTATCGAGCAGGTATTCGCACAACTTGCTATCTTTCTTACAACTACCCAAGTGACGTCACGCCGCTTGTTTCTGATGGCCGCCGCTCGTGGCTGCTGGTCGGGAAATATTCCAAGATTTGCCTCGCTATTACGCGGCGGAATCGCAACATTTCGATGAAAGGAGGTGTGTTTTCTGATACTTGTGACACAGTGAACAATATCAAAAGCAGAAAATGCCAATTCTTTCAACGTTAAAATCGTTGCACAGCTCCTTTAAGCGCGCGCCACCAATACCACGGGGCGCCAACTTAAAGGCATGCTTCAAAGGATCTGGCAGTGCGGTACGCGGAACACGGTAACTGTTTGCTTAAAATCTCATATATAAGTAACACCGACTAAAACACCTGAAACGTGCTTTTTTTTTTCTTCTTCTTTAGGACCAATATATTTTGATTTGGTTTTATAGAACACCTCTTCGACAACTTGAACTGCTGCAAATCACCATGCAGGCCTTTATTGTTTCAGAGGAGTGCGATATCAGTCGCAGAGCACACGTCTGGATTGAAACTTTGTTATTACTATAAATATATTTTATTTCTCATTAAAAAAAAAATCAGATTGCTCCATAGCCTCGCCCATAGCAAAGTTATCACCAATGAGAGTCACGCCAGCTGTTGGCTTGATGACCACTGTACTGCAGTATCTATACAGGGCAGAACCATAGGTTTAAATATTTCTAAAAACGTAAACACGTTACTGGTGTATCTGCGAAAAAACAACAACATATTGAGACTTCGTTCGTGTCGTTTCTGTGTTTTTGTCCCTTGTCCGAATCCCCAGTCTCGGGTTTACAATGCTCAATTGTCAGGGTACGACTCCGTCTTCATGTAGGGTTATGTTTCAATACGGAAATGACCCCGCCTGTCCTGTCTGCATATGTTCTTTTTTTGTATTGGTTGATGAAGACAAGAGGGATTAAATGTGCAAACATAGGGAACGAAAAAAAAAATATAGGCCTCGGGCACAATATATCACGACTCGATTTGCTTCCTATATGTTAGTTTGCTTGAAGGCAGGATATGAACAAACACTTTTACCTCTGGCCTCGATGAACTCGTTCTCGTCGTCGAAGTCTGAGTGCATGTGATGGCGGCGGAAGTGATGCTCCTCTCCCACGCGCATAAGCACATCCTCAAGCGTGGTCACAGTCAGCCCCAGAGACTCGATACCCAACTTGTCCTTCCCCTGCTCCAGGTCTCTGAACATGGCGATGGTGTGCCTGGTGGTCACGATCTGCCCCAGCACAAACACAGCCTCGTTGTCCGAGTCGCTCTGCAGATGTGCCCGGGGCGCGTACTTGCGGAGCAGGGACTCGATGGCGGACACGTTGCAAAAGGCCGCCTTGTTCACTTGCATGTGATAACCCGTGCCGAAGCGCTGCTTGAGGAAGGCTGGGGAGCCCATGCACCGGATGCGGCCGTTGGCCATGATAGCGATGCGGTCGCCCAGGACGTCTGCCTCGTCCATATGCTGAGTAGTGATAAGGACGGCACTCTGCCGTCGGACCTTGAGCAGCAATTCCCACATCTCGCGCCGGGCGTCTGGATCCATGTTGGCTGTGGGCTCGTCGAGAACGACAAGCTGCGCGTAGACGCCATTCCTTTTTATGCCCGAGTTCCCCTACAGACACAAACAAAAACTACATACACCGACAGGCCTGAAACACGTGCAGCATGCACGCGAGGGTACCTTTGACAGGCTTGCAATCACTCGTGCTCACTTCACCGGCCCCGAAAGAGACCGCAAGCCTGTCAAAGGTTCCTTCGCGTGCATGTTGCATCTGTTTGGGGCCTCTCGGTGTTCCCTGTTTTATGTTTGTCGCTCTGGTGTAACTCTAGTTTTAGAACTCCGTAACTGCGAACACCTTTGTCTTCATGCCACTCTGATTCCTGGTAACAACGCAAAGCAGTGCAAGGACTTTGTGAGCAAATGAACTTCCAGAGGCCCACGTTGAACCTGAGGCTCGAGGAACCGCAGTAACTAACACATACGGAGCATGTCTAGGCAATAGACCCTTTCAGAACTGCGCGCCATCTGGTCTCTGCTGCGTTATATATTCTCGTCCGACATTGTTTGGGCACGTAGTCTGAACCTGTGTTAGACACGAGGGCTTGGATAACGTTCGGAGTGCTCGGCTCAGCTCGTTTTGAAAACGAGTGTGACGTCAGCGCTCGGCGAATGCTCGTATCTACGGTAATCACACGCTTCGTGCCCCAAAAATGCCGACCACAATTGTTCCTTGAAGTGGTTTTGAAAACGGTCTATGAGGATTGCTTCTGATGCTGCTGAATGAGGTCACACTGTCTCAGAGAGAACTGGGGGGGGGGGGGGGGGGGGAGGAGGGGGAGGAGGGGAAGGGGAAGGAAGGAAAGAGTGCTTTACCGTTTTTTTCTTTTTAAGTGGCTTACAGCCGCGACACCATGTTCCTTTCAAGCACAAGTAGAGTCGTCGAGTTCTAGGGTTTAGTCTTCTTACCTTTGGTGTTGCGATGATAGCGAGGGCCATACAGAGACGTCGCTGGAATCCCGGAGAAAGCGAGGCTGCCAGCGTGTTGCGTACTTCCATTAAGCCTACTTCGCCAAGGAGTGTCACCAGTTCCAAACGAAGCCTGTCTCGTGGGGCACCTTTTACCTATATTATATTGGAAAACAAGGTTTGATCCCGCTTGGGGTTTTTTTTCCGCTAAAGTCGCTTAACAAGATCAGCCCTTTCTTTGTTGCTTTAATCTGCTAGAAAATTTATACCAAGAAGCTCTTCCTGACATTCGGTGGTGTTTGGAGAAAACCTAACATACCGGCGTTTTTCTAAGCTCTACAGATTTGTTTAAAAAAAAGCCGCGAGAGTTACACTTATGCTGTTTGTCCAGGTGAGTTATACGGCCAAAGGGATATAGTATAGGGGGCTAGTCGTAACGATCAGTTGGCGAATTTATTAAGTTTTCTTAAGTAACTTCTAAAGTATAGTGAAAATAGACATGTGGTTCTAATTAGAAACCTGCTGAACGTCATCGAAAACGAGTAATTCAACTCTTTTTAGACGAATATAACCTGGGCGCAGCATTTTACGGCCTTCCGTAAAAATGTTCCATTTGGACGCCTCTCCTAGGTTTAGGTTTTTTATCGGAGCGCATCCCTGCGACCGCGGTCCTGCTCCCCAGTGGCTGAGACGCGCAACACACTTGCGCCCTACTTCCCTCCATCCTACGAGGGAGGAGAGGAAGTTGCTTTTCGCCACAACCACCAGGGGACCGCTGGCGCAAAAATGTGCTCCGGTAAAAAACTGGAACCTAGAAACGCGTCCGAATTAGACGTTTTGTAGCGTTAGCTACGTTGGCCGAGGTCACGGTGTAGCCAAGGTTGAGCAGTTTCGCGTGGCCCTCATAATGAGCCGTGCTCATTCTGCGGAGCGCGAGGCGGCGGCGGCGGAGCTCCGTATAATGAGCACGGCGCCGCGCGCTCCGCATAATGAGCACGGCTCGCATAACGCGCACGGCTCATTATGAGAGCCACACGAAGCCGCCGCCACGCCCGCCTTGCCCACCTCGCCGGTCTGCGCATTCCAGAGGAGTGACGTCATAGCCGCGCGGCCGCGTGCCCAGCTGTGCGCCTCCTTTGCGCAGTAGCCAAGTTTGACGCTGCACCGGAGCCGCTTGATAGCGCCTCTCATTTTGTGCGCATAAGCTCATGCTACGTATATCCCAAGGCATAGCCGAGCTAAGCCACCGCAATTTTTTCAGAACGCCATAAAATGCTGCCCCTGTCTTATATCTTCATAAAAAAGTTAATTTAGTTGTTATTGATGATGCTTACCAAGTCTCTAATTGGAACCATATATTTTTCTAAGTAAAAGGTTAATTAACAAATTATACTTAATTAGCCGACGGATCGTTATGATTAGCCCCTTATACTGTTCTCCCTGGCCGTATAACGCACCTGAACAAACCCCGTGAGTGTAGCTTTCATGGCTTTTCTTGACAAATCTGCAAAGCTAATAAAAAAACACCTTGTAGTGTTTTTAAACAAGTTTATAATAAATTTATTATACGAAAGTTAAAAACGGTATCTAGCTTTTGTTTTTTGTAAAATGAGAAACATGAGATTATCACTGCGCTAACACGAAACTGAGGGCCATCCGGGAAACACTAGTGCTAAAGATAATACTGGGCATGCACCACCTCTGTGGCCAAGGTTAGACTCAGAGAATGCATGAACTCACTGCCGCGAAGAAAAGCAGATGCTCCTCGACGGTGAGGTCTCTATAGAAGATGTTGTGTTGGGCACAGTAGCCTACGCTTTTGCGGGCATCACGGGTAGCGTTGAGGATATCGTACCCTCCAACCAGTATTGTGCCAGAAGTCGCGCCGATATACCCTGTAACCAGTCATCGGTCCCCACGCAACATCATGAATCAATAGACTTCGCGACAACTTTACGTTTACTCTACCATATTGAGCAGTTCGTATCGCATTTATAAATACTGTATGATCACTGGCGGTAATTACGAAAGCAATGTACACTCTAAAAGAAACCCGTACGTCTACTTTCCCGCACCACACCTCGGACAGCCAATCCCCGCAACTTACGGAGGCCGCTCAGCGAATGGCGATGCCGAAACATATGTTTAGACCAAAAATCGCTGTCTGAGTTGTGACATTAAGCAATGCAACATGTCACGTTTGGATTGCTTAATGTCACAACTCAAACTGCGTTTTTTGGTCTAAAGATATGTTTCGGCATTTCCATTCGTTGAGCTGCCTCCGTCAATTACGGTGATAGGCTCTCCGAGTGTCGTGCGGGAAAGCAGACTCACGGGCTCTTCTTAGAGTGTAGTAGTGTATGTGACACGACGAACACAAAAAAAGATAACAGAATTTAGATCCAATATATTTACGTGTCGACTGACGCCGGTTACACAACTGCATCGGAAATTAGAGCACGTTTGCACCAGGTCGGCTTACCACTTACCAGTGATTATGTTGAGAGTAGTAGTCTTGCCAGCACCGTTGTGACCCAGAAGCACAGTAATTTGACCCTCGAAAACGCGCATGTTACAGTTGGAAACAGCCACCGTGTCCTTGTAATTCTGCGGAATAATTTTTTTACAGTGTAATCACTGCCGCCTGACCCCCAAAAGCATGCAGCGGGCGAAAGATTTCACAAGGCTGTCGTTAGGTAGTCAGTGTATGATCTAAAACTACTGTTGCGACTGCTTTGCAGATGAACGAAAAAATCAAAAACCCTTCGGATGATTCTGTGTCTTTTTTTTCCTCTTTCGCATATTGTAGGCGGATGCGTGAATCATGAGGTAGAGGTGGCACATACCTTGTTAACCTGTAAGAGTTCGATGGCGACCACCTGGTTTTTAGGCTCGGTCTCAAAGTTGAGTTTCTCCTCGTCCGTTTTGTCGACAGCTTTCAAGGACGTCATGCCCGGAAACCAGTAGCTCTTCTATGGTACAAAGAAGGGTTCGTGTAAGTATCACAATAAGAGTCACCTTAGGTCAGAAGGGCACGCGATGCCATGATACTACAAGCACAAGCACAGCGACAGGAACTATAAAATAAATTAACGTAGTCATCCTCCGACGGCTCATTCACGTAAAAAAAATATGAATCGTATGAATGATGTGCAGAATATAGTAATAAAATAAAAATAATCTACAGGGTTTTACTAAACAAACGAAGAAACAAAGGAGATGCTCACGCAAGCAGGCGCCGGGTCTACGTCTCAGGAGAGAATTTTTACTTACCATGAAAGGGTAGCCGACAGGTTTTGAAATACCGGGACCGATGGGCAGCACGTTGTCGAGGTACCACACTAGCACGATAATTAAGACATCGGACAGAAACCCAACCGTCGCAATCTCAAACAGCGTCACGTTGTCAGGCGTCTCTTTGGGGTCGTAGAAGTTGCTCCAGTTGGCACCGCTGTCCACTGCGAGGGTTGTAACGCTGTTAGCCCAGAGAACCTACGATCTCGTGTGGCATAGAAAAACAAAAACAAAGTCAGTGCCAGCTGGGCGTGACGGAGAGCGAAGTCCACGAGTGCGGTTGCTGTAATTAGCGTTCAAAACTATAACTCGCGCTCCTGACCATTCTTTTGGGGTGGCATTTGAGGGAGTAAAAGGTTTGGAGCTAACTTAGACGAGTGCATAAAAAGCTGTCCGCCCGAACAATATTTAATCATATATTTATTAGAAGAACTACGCAATCTGGTGACCTAGAACCATGCTTACACAGCTCCTAAATTGTACCATGACCCGAATTTTGAAGTAAGTTAAACATCTGACCTTTAAATACCCCTTTTTTGTGGTTCGAAATTTCCTCCCGTTGTTTGTCTTTATGCTATTCACCATGTTGCTTGCAGGTGCTCCGTCATTTGTCTCGTCCGTCATGCGCCGGCGAACGTGATTGTTTGTTTTTGTTTCATTAAAAAGTATTCAATTGTCGTATATTCGCCAGCAGAATAACACCTAGCAGAATGCAAAACACTTGTCTACGGCCGAGCATCTTTCGTAGAAAATCGCGGTTTGTGATGACTATTCACACAATTCGCCAGAGTAGGTGGTAGGTCCCTTTAGCGAGACCTTTAAACCGGTACACCACCGCCGGCTTTTCTTGCTCATGCTGTTGTTATTACCGCCTGGTGTCACAGCGTAACGTGATGTCACGTGATTTTGTGCCCAATGTCATGTGACTTCACCCCAGTCAGCGTGATCGAGCCAGTGTATCCTTTATTTGAGTATACGATGCGCTCACCAAATTTCTCGAAGCGGTTAAGGACACGAAATCCCCAGTGCAGGTTCATCCCGGGGAAGATGCAGGTCCAGAGTTTATGTCCGCGCGTTATGAAATGGTAGCCGTGGCCTCCGGCGTTGTCCAGTATCAAGAACGGGATGACGCAGCTGAAAGTCCAGTACATTATTGCCCCGGCCACGGCAGACGACGCTGCGATGAACACATAAAATGACACATGCAGTCGTCTCTTATCTGCGCTGTGTTTATATTTAGCGGGGAGTTAGTCAGCCTAAATGGCCACCCGGATCCCTAAACTCGTCAAACACAAAGTTGGAGCAGAAAGTTTGCGGAGGGCGCCGATTCGACATCGGCGAAAAAAGCGCCAAGTCATCGTCGTGATAGGCCAATCAGGGGACTCCGTGAACTTCGGCCCCAACTTTGTGTTTGACGAGTTTAGGGGTCCAGGGACGCTAAACTCGTCAAACACAAAGTTGTGGCCGAAAGTTCGCGGAGCGCGCCGATTGGAGGTCGGCGACAAAAGCGCGAAGTCATCGTCGTGAATGTCCAAGCAATGCGCTCCGTCAACTTCGGCCTCAACTTTGTGTTTGACGAGTTTAGAGCCCCTGGTATCACCGCTGAAGATAAGACATTTAGCCAGTGCAGTACCACTGTGCTGCCTGAAACAATATAAAGCATGTTGTAAAGCGCGGAAATGAAAAAAAAAACAAAAGAAACACACGAAGACAAGGAATAAGACACACACACACAGAGGCGCCAGTCACAACTAGAGGCACTGGATCTGCGAAAGTAGCGCCATTGCCTTCCCGCCTGCTAGCCGGACACAAACAAATACCAACATACAGGCGACAAAACCTCTGAAGGTGATTTTGGACCCTTTCGAAGCTTCGCAGCTTTGTTGCCATTGAGATGCACGTATTAGCAGTAGTTCGCAGCAGATCCTGGGTTGCCATTGAGATGCGAGTATAAGCAAAAACATGTGAGAAGACTCTTGCTAGCCAATCGCCATATTTAAATGAATTCACGAGGTGCGGCAAACATTGTCGATGGTGCTTTCTTTGAATTAGGATTTATAGAAATTCCTCCAAATAAAAACCAATCCTCTTCGATAGCAGGACTAATGACAGTTGCCAATTGCAAGAGTAGCACGATATTCGACGTAAAACCCAACCTCCTGTCTAATACCGCAATATTTGTTGTCTAACATTGTTTACCTACGAGTGATGGAGACCTAATTTTGTTAGATACAAGTAAACGTAAAATATCGGCATGTATATCTTTGTATTCCTTGGTCGCTTAATATTTCTGTAGGTTTGCTTAGTTTATTTATTTATTTATTTACCTTAAAGGCCCAAATGGACATTATATAGGCGGTGAAACGATAGTACAAGGTTTAATACAATTGGGTCAAGTGCAAAAAAAACGATTGCATAGTTGGCATATACAATGTTAAACAAGCAATAAACAATATAAATAACAAGAACACTGGATGAAAACATGACACAAAGTAGCACTATATAAGTTGGTACATATTACTTAAAGAACTAATGAACATATCAGGTGAAGTCATTAACGCGATTTCTCTGGGGAGGCTGTTCCATTCGCAGATGGCAAGAACCAGAGCGGAATTCTTCAACAAGTTAGTGCGGGCAAAGATGAGCGATACTTTAAAGTAATGATCTGCGTGAGACGAAATACGATGCGCAGGCTGAATGAATGAAGTCCTAAAGGGAGATGATTCATGATGGAGCTTGTGGAAAAATGACATGCGAGCAATACACATCTTCTGTACTGCAGTTGGGTTAGGTTGAGGTTACGTTCTATGTTCAACACACTGGAAGTACGGGAGAAGTCGCGGGTTATAAATCTTGCAATTTTATTTTGAAGTGCCTCAATATGGTTGGTTAAGTAAAGCTGATGAGGGTGCCATATGATGGATGCATATTCCAACTGCGACCTGACGATGGCAGCATAGGCGAGGAGTTTACCGTACAATACCGTACATCCGCCCATACCACATTAAGCGCCCATACCCAAATTTGTAAGATCTAAAAAAATATGCACAGTACATTTATATGTACAATTGATGACCAGACAAGCGCCCATTCCCCATTTTTCATGATTATCTCAAAGTCTTGTGTGGGTACTTGCCCGGTATTTTACGGTAGTTTCTTTGTTAGCTTGAAATAAAGAGCGTTTAAGAAAACCAAGAGTTCTGGAAGCTTTGCGGTTTATATGTTCAATATGAAGGTTCCATGATAAGTTAGCTGTTAGGTGGACGCCGTAGTATTTAATTTACGCAACGTCTTCAAGGCGGTCCTCTCCAATCATGTACGCGTGATGACTGATTTGTAATTTCGTTGGAAAAGTGACAGCTTTAGTTTTGTTCATGTTTATTTGCATTAACCATGTGGTGCACCATTGTTGGGCAATCTCTAGGTCCTGTTAGAGTATGCGAAACTCGTGAAAGTGCGGCATTCTAAATTGTGAAATTTCTATATCGGATATTCCGTCTAGCTCCACTGAAATACAGAATTATTTCACAGCTGAGCACTGTTACTGTCATTCGCGACAGTAGTTCACCTTACCAAATTTTCTAGAGCCGAATATTTGAGCATGATCCGTGGTAAACTCACGGTTGGCGAAGAAGAGTGACAGGAGTGCTGCGTGAAGCATGCAGGAACTGCAAAAGTTCATGAGTACGCAGAACACCAGGAACGGGTCGCTTCTCTGGATGAACGACCGTCCTTCATCGTTGCGCTTGATGCACAAAAAGATCATCATCAGGGTGACCGTGATAAGGTGCATGAAAAAAGCGCTCAGGTAGTGGCTGGCCCAGTACACCCAGTCGCTCACCCCTATGATGCGCAGCATCTCCTTCATCCCAGAGGTCTTCTCGTCCGTCAAGCGCGTCGCAAAGACTGCGAAAGGCACCAGCATGCCAATGCTGAAACGACTCAGCACGAGGGCATAGTTGCTGACGTCAGTTTCCTCGATGTAGGAAGGGTACGGGAACCGCTGAAGCCTGACTGTTGACACGTCTTCTTTCTTAAGGTTACGGTCGGTTGCAACGTTCTCGAGATGCTTCTGCTGGAGTGTGCCCACGAGTGGCAGGATAGTGCTGACCTCGCTGAATCGATCCTCCTTGGCGGGTCCTGGAGGTCTTGAAAGGATGTTCTCGCCGAACTCTACGTGTACGTCCGCAGGGAGATGGCCGACGATCAGGGTAAAGTGAAGGCTGTCCGGGGCTTTGATAGTGTCCTGCCTGATGTCTTTGAAATGCAGACCGATGGTAGTGGTGACGTTACCGCTGGATTTGTTTACGCTATCCTCGAGGTGCTGGATGCTGTCCGCGGCCGTGACGTCGGACACACCAAGGACGCTGCTTGATTCGTGCACTAGTTTGGCCAGATATTGAAAGTTTGGATGGTACAATATCTGCATTGTAAAAGAAAGATGAAGGCGATATGTTTCAATGTTATTGTTTTAATATTGAAGAGCGGGGAAAGACTACTTGATTCACAAGACAATGACCATGGTGATGTATGTTGCTCTTGTCCTATCCTTCACTTGTTGGTGCATATACCCAAGAAGAGATTAGCCAATTATTAGTGTGATTAAACGTTTTACTGAAAACCCCGATACAGGGACGAGAAAGACGTACAAACACAAAGTCTCAAGCTTACCGATGTTGACACAATGCTGAATCTCAGTTTTTGAGACTTTGTGCCTGTCCGTCCCTTCTCGTCCCAGTCTCGGGGTTTTTAGTAAAATGGTTAACCACCACCAGCTTGTGGGCACCCTAACCTTTTGTTCACTATTTGTGTTATCTTAATAAAAATATTAAAGCCATAATTATAATGCAATTAAATGCAAAGGGGCAAGCGAGCTGGACAATAATGATGAAATCTTTTTTTTAGCTAAATATTGTGCTTTGAAATGGAGAGGACCTAATAACCTAATTGTTTAAATACCGGAATGTAAACATGGATGGTTTAGCTTATGACGTTTTCTACCAATTCAACGAAAATTGCTCCAAATGAAAGGAGGTTTGTCACGACGAGTGGTACCCCGAGCTCTGAGAATGGTTGCACCGTGTAGCGGTAACACTGTCGCATAAACCTGCCCAAGTTAAAATAGTAGTGCTTTATTGTTTCATGAGTTTTGCAGTATGTGGACACAGATATGTAAACAGATGATGCGAAACAGTCCTAATATTTCGCTTTTTGTTTGTAGAGCCCTCGTCAATAGAAGTTTCCATGTCTTCTGGTTTGATTACTTGAAACTTTACAAGCTTCCTTATTGGTGAAAAGTCGAAAGTCGGCTTGAACTTAAGGAAACGAGCGAAGAAAGGACGGAACAGGACGAAGACGCTCTACCAATTTGTACGAACTAGCCCAACCATCTATCCATATCCTTCCGTTTTCACACGAGACTCAAAAAACAGTGGTTATCCACTGCAATTCACCATAGCACTTAAACCGACAGAAATCATACAAGATGAGCATATGCGCCGTGTATAAGAACACAAAGTCACACCTTGGCGATGGCAGCGACGTCTCGGGCTCCCTTCCAGTACTTTGTGGGAGTGCTGGGCGGGAAGTGCGTGTCCGGGAGGACCTTCATTCTCTCCGTGGTCACGGCGTACTCCTGGATTCCCAGCAGAAGAACCACGATGAGAGCCACCTCCAGGACCGTCGTCGTATAGTGCCGTAAAAGCCGTTTAACGTAGACGTCCTTCCAGAGAAAAACGTACAGCTGCCACAGGCGGGTAGACCACACGCTGGGCTTTGGTTCCCTCTGAGGCTTGACAACTGCGCACGCACGGCCAGGGCGGCTTCAGGAAATCCTAGGCACGTTTAGCTCAACGCATTGATACATATGGATAAGTGACGCACTTTCTCATATTAAGGACATAGTATAAGCTACGCTTAAGGTATCGGCACACCATTCCCGGGGGATCGGTGACCGAGCGTACTAACGAACTTTAGCTCAGAGCACGTGGAGCGAAAGCTTGAGCTGCAGGACGCAGGGACTCTGGGTTCCAACCCTACCTAGGCCAATATCAATCAGAACAACCATCGTCTCGGCGTGCGGATATCTATCACTACTACATGATGCAGACTCCTAGGCTAGCAACGGTACTGCACGGGGTAAATTTCTCGT